GGTTGGCAATCGGTTGAATGAAATAATTCGGTTCGGTTAACCGATTAAGGAAATTTTTCTCGGTTCAAATCACTATATACTATATAGTTCTATTAGAAAACTAAAATATATAAAGCCCAATTTATTTATTTTAAATTAGTTTTAAATTTACATGTTTAAAGTATTATTCAACCAAAATAATTTTGAAAGTTTAAACTATAAATAATTTAGCAATATAAAATATAAAACTTTTAAATAATTTAAAAATAATTCTCTCGCTAAGAATTAAAAAAACAAATATTATAAATACAAATGAATAAGTTGAATAATGTGAAATGTAAATAGGTAATAACACTGCTGCTAATATACCATTAGTACAAAGCCATAAAAAAGTAACCCATGGAGGAAATGTTTTTATATTATAATATTGTCTTTTTAAAATATTTTGTTTACTTTCATTTTTTTGATTTAACGTGCTTAAAATCTCTGAATATAACTGATTGTTATCAGATTCATTAGGCAACATAATATTGACAACTTCTTTTCCTAGTGTATCTTTAAAAGAGGTAACACTCTCTATTTCGGTTGAGCTAATTGGTTTCGAACTAAATTAATTAAAATAAAAAAAAATAGTTAGTACATTTGAAATATAATTAAAAATCGTATTTTTGATCAATAATAATAATAATATAAATGCAATTATTTTTTTTTATTTAATCTAAATCTAATTAAAATTGTAATTAAAATCTAGAAACTAATTTTAATTTAATAAAAATTAATTAATAGTATGTTATAACTAGCTTTTAAAATCAAATTATTTTAGTTGTGATTATTTTTCACATATTATTTAAATAAGATATAATCGTTATTAAAAATACAGATTAATCTGGTAATCTAGTATTATATGTCATAAGAAGATATTGTTATTAAATGTTGAGTGCCAATAACTTGTTTAGCTTACTTTAACTGTGCGCATTAAATTTAAATTAAATATTGAAATACTTTTATAAAAAATAAATGATTATATTTTACTTTACCTGATAACAATATTAAAAAATGTATAAATATTTATGCCATTAATATAGAATGCAGTTAAACAGATATATGGTAGAATGCAAAAAAGAATTTTTGATGAACGCGACATTATTAAACTTGAAATTAATAATAAAACATAAATAAAAATTAAAATAAGAAAACTGCAATTGAATATATTACTATAAGAATGAAAATCTTTATAATAAAATAGTTCGGATTTATTGCCATGCAATAAAAGGTAAAAACACGTAAATAAAATAAAAATTATCATAAAAATAGATATAAATAATTGAATAAGATCACACCATTTAGAACTGTTTAATAGTAATATAAAAGTTATTACAAAAATTTTGCATAAATTTAAAATAAATTACAAAATTGGTACTTACTTGTGAAGAATATTAGAAAAAGCAAAAAATAAGTGTGAACCAACCATAAATAAATAAATAGGCAAAACTATTAGAAAAAAAATAAATCCAAATATAAAAAAAGTTATGCAGAAAATGCCCTAAAAAGCAATTAAATCATATTGAATATAAATATAATAAAAAGAATAATAGAAATTGCAATATTTATATTTACCAAAGTAAACCATAAAATAATAAAATTATAAATTTGATTTATAATTTTAATTTGTAAAAATATTTTACGAATAAGAGTATGTCCACTTCTCCAAATAAAATAAAAATGAGTTATTGCATAGAGTTTAGCAAAGAAAATTTGATTCAAGCAACATCTTTGTTGATGAATAAATTCTGATAAATTTGTATAGATATTAAATTCAGCTTTTGAAGAACTTTCGTAATGCAGTATCCAAGAACGATTATGTTTTGAAATCAAATCAAAACAAAGAAGATAATTGTATTTAAGATAAGAAGTAGAAAGAATGGGCGTGCCATTATTATTATTTGTAATATCTTGAAGTGAAAGATATCGATAAGCTGAAAATTCTTCAGGCAAAGATTGAATATAACCAAGGATCGCCTCAGATGGTTTATCTAGAATATTTGATATTTCATAATCAAATATTTGGGCACCTATAATTGGGTTTAATAATTGGTACCAACATCCATCTTTCATAGCAACTAATTTACCACAAGCACCAGCCACTTGAGGATTTAAAAATGCTTTTCACAAGTTAAATAAAGACCTTTTCTCTTTTAAAATACATAAAAATATTAGCATTATATTATGTAGAAATCATAGCAATAAATTAATATAAACTATTTTCAAACCTAGCTTAACTCCAGCTTTAATAAGAACGCATATTTTAGGATTTAGAATTGGACAGAATGCATTAAAAAACCATTGAAAAGAATCAGCATTATCTTTCTCCTTTTCTTTAAGACAAAAGAGTAATTGTGTTGGAAAAATTCCGTCATTTATTGTCTTCTTAATTATGGATTTCTTAGAACATTGAATTGAAATCTGAGTTGTATATTCATATATGTGAGCTCTAACAACTTTATTATCCATTTGAGATTTTGCAATATTATGTTGATAAACACCAAGAGCGCCTAAATATGCTAAAGCACGTTCATTGATATTATTACGTCCATTAGAGATTATACACACAACAATCTTCTTCCATCCATGTTCATCCTTACAAATAAAATAATAAATATTTAAAAAGGCATTTACTATATATGAACATAATAAAAATAAATAATATATACCCATATTTCAGAATCCTTGAGAGAACAAAGGTAAGCAATATTTTCTATAATTCCATTAAAAGTTCGAGATAATTGAGCATCATCTTCCTAATAACGATAAATATTAATTAGCTAAAAATAGCAGTTACAATTTATTAATAATGCAACTTTATTACCTCATTCAGTGTTATTAAAATAAATAATTCCGTTTCTCTCGAAGGTTCATATTCAATTTGACGAAGATTAAAATTATCATTTTTGAAATTATCTGGTTTGCTTGTACAAGCAGTATATCTCATATTTATAAATTCATTTGAACTTATATTAGGAAAGCTTTCTAATAAATTTGAAGGGACAGGGCAATCTATCATTAAATTTCCATTTATTAATTCAATACGTTTTTTAAAGAATTCTGCAGGTAAATATTGATCAAATTCAGATTTTTCAGAATTAGTGTCAATTGAATCAGAATATCTTTCAACAAAATTTCTACAATTAAGAATTATTTTAAAAATAAAGATAATATAAATATCAGTAGTGAATAAAACTTTTAATACAATAATTTAAGTCCAAGATTTGTACTTACTCCATATCAATTTTAGTGGAAATATCATTTATAATAAATTCAACATTTGTTTCTGTTGATAGCTTCTCAAGTTCTGTTAAAATTTCATTCAGCGTTGGGCGCTGGTCGGGAAAAGGAGACCAACATCTATTATAAAGGTTAGCATAAACTAAGGGAGTGTTTTCGACCACCTTTTCCCTGGTACCATTTATAAGTTCTACAATAATAGTCACACTATAATTGTGATTATTAAATGGAGGAATCCCACTAGTAAGTTCCCAGAAAATTACACCCAAACTATAAATATCAGACTTCTTATTTTGCCGTCTGTTATTATTAAGACACTGTGGATCAATATACGCTATCATACCGACCACAGCAGAACTTGAAGTAGTAGATCCATTTAATTGTCTTGATATTCCAAAGTCTGCAATTAAGGCTTTACCATCACTTATTAAGATATTCTTAGAATGCTAAAAAGATTTTAATAGATGAATAGAATCATTATTTACCGTAATAATTGTTAGCTATCTATATCAATAAGTTAAGACATTAAGACTTACTAGATCACGATGAACAATGCTATTATCATGTAAATATTCCAAACCAAGAGTTATTTCGGTTGCAATTTTAATGAGTTCAGTCCATGAAATTTTATAATAATTAAGCTCTCGCTTTGTTTGTAAATGATCTCGCAAGTTTCCACCATTTGCATATTGTAAAATCAACATAAAATCTCCCATTTGTGCACCTAATTTTATTTATCATAATAAGTTGATAATTAAAACATGTTTTTAAATTATGGGCACGCCTATTTCCATCATGAAATTTACTATTGCCACATTGACTATAATTTGTTATGATATATCTATCATGTTTATGTAGCTGTAAGTTATGTGAAAGATATGAATAATAGTAAATTTCCATGAATCGGCGCTCCCTAAATTAATCTTTATACAATCGTACGTTAATAAAATATATATGCGTGGCGTAGAAACCGAAAGTATCTCAGCCTTGATTTTTAATATGAAGCTACCGAAATATTTCCGAAATTTAATACTTTCCGCAAATCTGCAGTAGTTTCTACACCATGAATGATTAAATATATATACCCTTTGAAAATCCATAAAATTTAATAACATTAGGGTGGTCAACCTTATAGTGATACTTAATCTATATTTTATTAATTAAATTTCATTAGTCTTTGGGCATATAGTAAGCGGTTCAGCTCACTTCACCGACACTTATTTCGTAGATATAACATTTCACCGACAACAATTCACCGACATGTTATTTCACCGACAACAATTCATTTCACCGACAGTTTATTTCACCGAAACTCATTTCACCGACAAAATAATTCTGACATTGTCGTTAGGGTCAGGTTAGAATTAGAGTTAAGGTTAGTGGAATTTATAAAAAAATTTGTCTATGAAATGAACTTCGGTGAAATAACTGTCGATGAAATAAACTTGTCGATGAAATAAACATGTCGATGAATTTTTGTCGGTGAAATGTTATGCCTACGAAATGAGTGTCGGTGAATTGATACATATCCGTAGTAAGTATAGAATTAAAAGTATTCTTTATTATAACTAGATGAGAACTCGTTGCTTTATAAAGATTTAGGTAATGCTACAAAATTGCTTGTTATATTGGTCGTAAAATTCTATTGGTCAAAATTATTGAAATAATATTTTGTAGGTGCACTAACGCTATGCGTAAGGGATTCCTCGCAGTGAAAATGTCAATTAGGAGATTTATACACACATAAGTTATACCGTATAGACTCGGCCGTGGTAGAGTTACAATCCGGATAAATCTGTCATCCATTTATCCATATCTGAATTTATCCGGATATCCATTTACTATTGATATCCAGATAATCCGACAAATATTCGGATAATTATTCGGATATCAATAGTAAAACGGGTATCCGAATAAATTCAGATCTGGATATCCAGTAGATAAATGGATAAACGGATAATGGATAGGAACTCTAGGCCGTGGGCGTTATTTTGAAAATCAGAACCTTTAAAAATAACATATGTAGTTTCGAATTAACGCCCATGTGCGGCCGAATTAACACGCATCCCTCTATAAAAAAAATAAAAAATAAAAAGTGTACCGGAACTGGATTGATACTAAGTCTGCTTTCGCGCTCTAACAAAAGTTGTTCTTCAGATTAAGATAATTAGAACAATGGTAAAAGCAAGTTTCAGTACAAAATCCAGTTCAGGAGCACTTTTAATTTCTTACTATACTCATTATAAATAAGGGATGTTTATTTAACCTATATTTCGAAATAACGGCGCACTCGCGGGTCAATTAATTAACGCGCAGGTGGGCGTTATTCCGAGTCCATACGGTACAAATATTTAATTAACGTGTGCGGGATAAGTTTCTCTTGGTATGCTATATATTCTCATCATAGAATTCTAATATACATATTTACGTACCTCACGTTTGATTCGTTTAAAAGTTTCGTCGTCTATATATATATTATTTTTTAATCTCTTTATCGCACAGTTTAAGCCTTGAAGTTCAACATTATAAACAACAGCAAATCCTCCATGCCCAATTACTTTGAGGTTATCAAAATTAATTTGGGAGCAATCAAACCTAGTTA